GGGTGGATTAGTAACCATCTGGGTGGACTAGTGCTTATCTGGGTATATGAGGAACCATCTTGGTGGATTAATAAGTATCTGGGTACATGAGAAACCATCTGAGTATATGAAAAACTATTTCGGTGCGTTAGTAAATATCTGGGTATTTGAGGAACCATCTGGGTGGGTTAGTACCTGTAGGGACTGCTAGGGTCTAGTAGAGTTTTAGAAGGTTTAGTAGGAATCGATACTAACAGTAGGGACAAATGAAACCAATAACAACGCTATCACCCAGATCGTGATGATGTGCGCTTTAAGAGTATGACAGATTCAGTGAGAAGGTGTCATCGCATCCACTCACACACATACACACTTACCCTCAAAGAATATATGAATATTTCTCAAACTCTTTTTTAAACCTTACTCAAGATGCATGAGTATTTTATATATCTTTGCATACACTTTTCGATATTTGAAAGAATTCCGCTAGCTCATATATATTAACTGCAAAATGAAATAGATTATCGGTAGGATCATAATATTATATTGTCCGCATATTGTGTAAAATCTATCAATGAATTTGGTGGGAAAATGGATTCTTTTTTATTATAGAATGATGAGATGATGGATGAGAATACCTACCTAGATGAAAAATAGTAAATATTTTTAATAAATTATATTAAATTATATGAGAAGTTGGAAGGATATGAGTGGTTGAATGAATTATATAAGGATACAGAGATCATTGATACATGAGATCGACGAAATAAACTACAGAAATAGGATGCTTCAGTTAAATGACTGGACAGTTCTTTTGAACAAATCGAGCCCTTTAAAAGACTTCAACTCTATGAATTGATCCTCACGAAGAGTTATGAATATAAATGGACATCCAAAAAATAAAAATTACTATATTTGGAATATTCATTTATATTCGAACTCGAATTAGGCAGCTATTCAACAGTTAAGGTCAATTGAAGCGAACTATTCGGACAGTTCATCTGTTCTCAAATAAATCCGAACTTGTCGTCTCCTAATATTTATTCTATTTATGTGGGAGGTGAACACGCTGTTCGTCTGCTATGATATCTAACTAATGTATACAAGAAAAACGCTCCTGCATATCAAATAAAAAAACAGCATAATTTACCCTTGTAGATACAATGATTTACTTTGAAAGGCAGAACAATAAAATCTTCTCACAAGAATATAGAATAATTAATTATGATGACAAAATAATAAACCTACTTGACGAAAACTTGGAATAATCTACTTTTATTCATAGAGTAAAAACCCTCATGCGTATTTATTAAACATATTATATTCGAAGGATTTTCGTACAGCATCATTTTCTTTATGACTCTCATCTATAATAGAGGCCACTGTATAAGAATTCGAGACTGAATCAATTTAAAGTATTAATAGGTTTACTATTTTACCATTCTTGTATTTGAACTTCATACTTTTCCATGCCTACGTTAGCCACTTTTCTAAATTATATAGAAATTATAAGCTATACCTTAATTGAAACTTTTTCTCGAAGTCTTTCCAATATTAACATCTTTCTTATTAAAGAATGCTTATTCAGGGAGAAAGTGCATGTTTACATACACACTCCTCCCCCCAGGATTTCAACATTTTGAAGCATAAGTTATTGCTGAAACACTAATCTTATCTCCTTGAATTTAGGAGATAGCTATAAATCTAAATTGTACTGTACTATTTCAATTCTGCGATTAAAGAATTCGATTCTCTCGTTCTTAAGTCTCATACAATTTGCCTATTTTCTTGAACAAGATTAAACTTACCAAAAAAAATCAAGCTCCAAGACAAGAATAAATCACACATGGATTTAAAGTCCACGATTTCAAAAGACTGCATTCTAAGTTTAATCAGTAAATCATTATTTTTTCTAAACATAATCTTGTTTTGATGAAAAAATCGAATTAGAATCGTATTGCGATTGTCCTAACTGTCATTTCAATGTTTAGCTTATTTTTCACAAGCGTATAAGCACCACCACATTCTTCAATATCATATATCAAAATTTAATACGACCGATGATGCAGTAGGCATCTGCTTAATACTTGTTTAGTAAAAGATTATACTTACTAATTTATATCTCAGTTCGCTTTCTTGACGTTCAAGTTAACATAAAAGATATGAATCGGGAAATTGCAAGCATATACGTATGATTTTGCCAATATGCACATATAGAAAATAAATGATCATATGAAACATAGGTATCTATATTTCTTATGATCACTTTTTTATCTCAATTTTCAATACCTTAAAATTAAAGTTTCACACTCTAGTCACTCTATACACGTGTCATATTTGAAATTTATTAGTTTAGAGTTGTGCATGATCATTTGATCCGAATATAGTCGATCGTTTTATCTCATAGTAGATGATGTTTTATGATTTTAGAGACTTGTGTATATTCACTTCATTCGTTGGATTTAACGATAATTTCTCCTTCATTACGTTACATCAGTCGTACTACTAAAATTCGTATACTTTGCTAGTTAAGTCAGGACTTTAGGAGCCTTGTTGTAGGTTGTCGCTTCATGTAGCTTATGGATTTTCACATTATCTCTTGAAATTTTCGCTTTAGATATTTTAATTCCTTCCATAGATTTTCTTTCTGTACGAGTTAGATCTTCCAATGCTATCTATTAGGTTTAAAGATTTGATATTATCATAGCAAATTTTTCGTTCATTTCTGTTGTGGACTTTGACATCTTTACTACATATTTTCATGTTCTAAGATTTAATTGATTGATTCTACTAGCTCGTCTGTGTAGTTTTGAGCTTTTCAGATAATTAGTTTGGCGTAAGGTGCTTATCCACGTCAGTATTTGTAGCCCGTTGTTTTCCTTTGACAGATAAAAATTTTCTAATTTTCTTAATTGTTTCGAATATGTCGCAAGATCTAGAAAAATAAAAATCATACTAAATACTAGAGAAAGTCGAAAATTTTCAATAAACAGATTTATTTTTACTCAACAAAGAAAGAAAAAGTATCAATCGAGAAAAGATAAATGTGGGTGTGGGTCTGGTTGTCATCTTTAGATCAACAATAGACACCCAGACCCTCATCCACACTCACACCAATCCGCCACCGGTCTATTAATTAGACATGCGATATTCTTTTTTATAACATTACTTGAGTAGTTGTTAAGGAGACGATCAAGAAACAACACACTACTATCCACCAATTTAGTTTAATAGTAATGGCACGGTTGATTAAAGTCATAGCAAGAGCTGAATAACGAAAAGTTGGCCTGATTTTGCTTTATCCACATAAGTGAATTTTTCTAGATATATCGTTTCTAGATTTGTTTTTTCTAAAAAAAATTTTCTAGATTTTGTGACATTACCATTTCTTCGATTACTTTGCTGAGTTTAATTTATACACTATATACTGAATAGTTAAATAATATAACGAACATATATTATTTGTTCTAGGTATGGGTAATTGTTTTCGACGTTACTTTGGTAACGTTGATCGTACGGCTGGAGAAAACAGGTATGCATATAGGATTATTAATCATTCCACTTCACATTCTTCATATCTCGCTTTCTTTAGGAGAATTTCGTTATGGTTACTCTTAGCGGCTATATGTTTGCTTTTACTGATTTTTCTCAGTATTGCTGCAACAATAGTCCTTTCTTTAATATCATTATACTTGCCAGAGAAAGGAAAAGATATGGTTATGAACAATGACGATGATGGTAAAGAGAATATTATGTTTACTAACTATTTTATTCCAATTTTCATATGTTTAAGCATCAAGTGTACTTGATATGGCATTTGCTACTGATTTTAGTAGTAATTCCAAGGAATCGATAACTGATATGGATTCAATTGCTCGCCAAGTACGTTTATATTTTCTCTGATATAGTATGCAATGTGAATATCTTTATGCTATAGTTAAATGAAAAGCTTGGATATTCAAATGGTATACTTTCTGTTAAATTGGCTTCATTTGTTTCCGGTACCAACGTAAACACAAAGAAAAGGAGACGTCAACTACGGTTCGCTGCTCTAACATTCTTTTTTTTAATTAAAATACATTTCATATTATTTACATGTTTTAGTAATGTACCATCTTGCAGTGCGTTAGAAACAGGAACAAATTCTGGCGATGAACTTAATATTGACATTTTCATCAATAAGTGTCCGCACAATAAATGTAAGACTGTTTATTGTATTAAGCAATGTACACCTCAAATCAAAATTGACATACAATCAAAACTTGGTTCATCTCCGTTTTCATTGATTATCGAAACAAATTTGGGAACCGTTACATGTTCAGTCCAGTTTTGTACATTCAATCTAGTTGTTACAGGTAGGAGAAATACGTCAAAACGAATAACTCTCAATAGTAACGATATCGATTGACAATGGTAGGATCGAGACTAAATGAAATAATGTAATGTGGAATTTTATTATTTGATTACTTTGTGCTATAGAGTAGTTTCTTCTCTCATTTATTTTTCTGTTTCAAGTTTTCTCTGAAAACATCGTCTGTTATAGTATAACAGGATCATATTAGTATAAAGAACAATGAATCTTTTTCGACTGATTCGATCCAATTAGAAAAATAAGTTCAATCCATCAAAAAATTTTAACAGTTGTAGAGTGCACTGTTTTATTCTTTCAGACGTTAGAATAAGGAAGTGCTTTCCGATATAATCATGTTGATAACCAAGTTATTATTAGTTTATTTTCAAGAAAATCAGATTGTTTTCTTTATTATCAATAAAATATTTACAAAAACTATAAAATTTTACGAGGACTAATAAAAGTTTTATATGAACACCAATTTTCAAGTCATATTTCAATCAATGGCGATTACGACTGGAAAATAATACTGCAGCTTAGAACTTTGAGTAATTTAAAATCTTGAACTGTATATATGTGCACAGATAAGATGCCTTCTATCTCCGTATCGATGTGTTATGATTTACTTGTCTCGCCTTGACATTAGTTTGTACTAGATAATAACTATATTTTCTCTTCTTGAAGCGTTGACATGTAACTGAGAAACCATTGAAAAGACACATTTTCATATAAACTGATATAATATAATAATTTCAATCTATTAATCAAAATGTGACTTAGAAAAGCTTTAGTTGTTAGTTGAGCTTTTAATCTTTTGATACCTTGAATATCTGAAAGATTCTTACTAAGAAAATTTCACATCTGTCTTATTCATGTACTTACTTCTGAATGGCAAATATAGCAGTATGTTATTTCAAATTCAATAAATTTAAAGTCACTCATACTTAGAAAAGCAATCGTCGTTGCCACGTTTCTGGAAGAGAAAAAGTAATATAGATCTATTCTAACAAGTATGATCATTAGATTAAATTCACTGAGCTGTTTAATTGAATTGACTCAGTTAAAAAAGTTGATAGTTATAGCTAACGCAACTTTAACTCTGACAATATGATAACGCAAAACGAATCAGTAGACTATCAGTTGTAATTACAAACATGGAACTTATTTCGAGAGTTGATTACATTATATATCATGAAAATATCAAATCTCAAGAGTTTTATATGAAAGAGTACATATATTCATAAGTTCGTGAGTAAAGAATACATGCTACTTGATATGACTTATAGAAGTCTTTAGAAGTTTGTTATACGATGACATGCTTGATATACAAGTATTAATTAAAGTGTGATCGTTGCGGTACAAGTAGCAGAATTTCAGCGACACTAAAACGAATAGTATCCAACTAAATAAAATGTAGTGGACCTATTTGAATCAGATATCGATATGTGACACGTGATGCCTCTTACAAAAGGGATATTCAATGAATCATCTAGATTAATTTAGTTTAAAAATGAATGTATCTATCATATTGCAGGTTCAACCGTGTCATCTACAATTAATCCAACAACAACAATAACAACAACAACTACAACAACAACAACAACTACAACGATCAGCGATATCGGTGAGATAAATAAAAAGAGATTCAATTTTAGTATCCCACTAAAATTTCTCTTTTCATAATCCTTATTATCTGATCATTCATTTTAGTATACTAATCCTTTTACAGATACAATAATGACTATAATCATGTGTGCAAATAGATTTCCTTACGATGACACATCCGCTCAGTAGTATAATGAATTAAGAGTAGAAAATATAGATATTACATAAAAAAATAAATCAAGTCATGTGTATCATAATTTGAGTCAAGATTCTTGATTATATAATATAACATAGTATTCTTGTTTCAGAAGCACAAAAATTTGAAGCAGAACTGGAATTTTCACTATCGCTACTGATTTCATCTCTGAGACTTAGTAGGATCTTTTCAGAGATATATTGTATTTAAGAGGAATTAAGTTTATTCTGATAGAGTGTGAGAGGAGTGATCTCTTTTCGTTATAACTATGACAACAAAAAACATATATTTCAAGAGCTATGTTATAATATTATCTATTAAAAAATCAAATTTTTTTCTAAACAATAATACTCTTTCTCTTCTTTATTGTTCATATTTCGAATTTTTTGAAAATCTTCAAATGACAATAGTGAGACCGATAAGGAAAACTGATCAGCGTATTTTGCATACTCTTTTCATCCCTTCACACATTAATACAATTTCACTGTTACTTTTCACTTTAAAGCAGCAGTCAATAATCATGTAAGAAACAATGTTCTGTATCTGCCTTGTTCTTATATAAACATCGATTCAAGATAATTCAGAATATATTTATTGACGTTTTATTGAAGATAGAAGCGACTTTAGGGCAGGTATCAGTACTAATAAGTTTTGATTAGTTCTGTTTTAGGCAATTTATATCGTTAAGTCCAATTATTTAAAAAAATGTTTAAATTAAAATCATCGATCCCAGTTAACTTAGGTTATGCATGTATTCGACATCTGTCATTAGTTATTCAAATGAATGGTTGACGATCCATACTTCATTGAAAAGACTTACAGATAGATGAAATAAATTGATACGCAAATCTATTTCAGCTGCTTAATAGTAAAACATCGTGTAATATATGTTCAGTTACTGAATAGAAGAGAAATTTCATCGATAGTTACTATGAAAATCATTCACATTAAAGAAAGACAGCCTGAGGCATGTCGATTTTGTATTTAAGAGATAGAGTAAAGTAGGTTTAAAGATTATAAGACAACTGGTTCATATATTACACTCTTTAACAAAAACTTGAATATTTGTATTGTAATAGATGCAAATACGCTGCTTCTTTCTGTCCTTGATATGCACACATTCAGATAGAGACAAGAACCTAACTAAAAAATCCTTCCATTCGTGTGTGGTTATACAATTTTCATTTATTTCATTCGAGATATTGGTATGAATGAGAGTGAGAAATACAAAAAATCTTACCTACATGAACATTCTCATCATTGTGCAACCACCATAACTTATGAGTATCTTTTTATGTATCTCATTAGTTTCCGCTCTTTCATTAAAACAAAAACTTACACATACAACTATACACTTTATAGAAGCCCATTCCCTTTCGTTAGCATAAAACTATAAAATAAAACACTGTTTTCTAATACCGAAAACTCAAAGATCATAATACAACGATTACTAATCATAGAAAACATTTCTATAGGACAACGCATCATCGGTGTTGGTCAAGACCATCTGCTCTACTTACGTGACACTTTGTACAGCAATTGGACAAACGTAACAAACAGTGGGTCCACACTCAGTATTACACAAATCAGCGACACTACCTTTGTTGGTATTCAAACTGATAATCTACTTTATACACGTGCAAGTGTAACAAGCATCTGGGTCATTGTTCCTCGCACTGATTTATTCATCAAAGTCATACAGTTGAAGGATGGGACATATGTCGGTGTCGGCATAGATGCTATGCTATATACTCGAACAAATTTGACTAATAATTGGGTGATGGTAGAAAACAGTGGTCACGCAATTGCAGTTGCTCAGCTAACTGATACTAGTTTCCTTGGCATTTTGACAGATAACTTACTATATACACGTGCAAATATAAACAGCGAATGGATCAATCTTCCGAGTGAAGATCGATTTCTCGCAATTCGACAGTTGAATGATGGTACATATGTGGGTATCGGCACAGACAATATGCTCTACACACGAACAAGCTTAACTACTAATTGGATCATCGTGCCAAACAGTGGCTCTGCTATTGCTATTACACAGCTCAGCGACACCAGTTTACTTGGTATTCAAAACGATAACCTATTGTACACACGCGCAAATTTAACTAGCAATTGGACAATTGTTCCGAGTTCAGATCAATTTCTTGTAATTCGACAATTGAACGATGGCACATATCTCGGTGTCGGCACTAATAATATGCTGTACACACGAGTAAATTTGACTAATAATTGGGTATTAGTGCCAAACAGTGGGCCCGCTATTGCAGCTATTCAACTCAGTGATAACAGTTTTCTCGGCATTCAGACAAATAACCTACTATATACACGTGCTAACTTAACCAGCAACTGGGTCCTAGTTCCAAGAAAAGATCTATTCATTTGGGTTCGACAACTAAACGATAATACATATATCGGTATAGGCACCGATAATATGTTATACACAGGAGCTAATTTGTCTACGAATTATATTATTGTGCCAAATAGCGGTCCTGTCATTGCAACTATTCAACTCAATGATAGCAGCTTTCTTGGTATTCAAACAGATCATCTATTGTATACACGTGCTACTTTAACCAGCAATTGGTTGATTCTTCCAAGTCAAGATTTATTCCTTACAATTAGACAGCTGAATGATGGCACATATGTGGCTGTTGGCAAAGACAATATGCTCTACACGCGAAACAATTTGACCACCACTTGGAACTTGATCCCAAATAGTGGCTCTGTTATTGCCGCTATCCAGCTGAGCGATAGTAGCTTTTTGGGTATTCAAACTGATAACCTACTATATACACGTGCAACTCTAACGAGCAGCTGGAATCTTATTCAAAGAGCAGACTTATTTCTTTCGGTGAGACAGTTGAAGGATGGCACGTATATAGGTGTTGGCATTGACTATATGCTGTACACACGACTGAATTTAACTACTAATTGGGTAATAGTGCCAAACAGCAATCCAGCCATTGCAGTTGTTCAGCTTAATGACAACAGTTATCTCGGTATCGAAACAGATTATCTACTTTACACACGCACCACCTTAACCAGCAATTGGATCGTTGTTCCGAGTGCAGATTTATTTATTTCCATGAGACAGTTAAAAGATAACACGTATATCGGTGTAGGCAATGACTATATGTTATACACACGACTGAGTTTAACTACTAACTGGGTACTGGTTCCAAACAGTGGTCCCGCTATTGCAGCTATTCAACTCAGTGATACCAGTTTTCTAGGTATTCAAACAGACCATCTAATTTACACACGTGCCACTTTAACCAGCAGTTGGGTTGTTATTCCAAGTGCCGATTTATTTATTTCCATGAGACAGTTAAAAGATAACACCTATATCGGCATTGGCAATGATAATTTATTGTACACACGAAGTAGTTTAAGTACTAACTGGGTACTGGTTCCAAACAGTGGTCCTGCTATTACAG